AGGGTTTAAAGGTTTGTGGTGTATGTATGTTTGTTTGTTTGTGTGTACTAGCCTTTAACTCCCACATAGATAAAATGACTAAAAATGAATAAAATGTTGGTCAAAGATCCTGAACTGCAGGCATATGTTCGACAAACTAGCAAAACTCTAAACCCTTAAAAAGAATCCAAAGATAGATTGTGACATTATAAACCTCATCACCAAATAGCTTCCACAAATGTCAAATTGCCCTCAGTATTAAAGAGTGATCTTCAAATATAACACTTTAAGGCCCTGGGTGTATACAGCTGCAACTCCAACCAAAGCACATATGTTGTTTTTGTTAGACTGGGTCCATAACAGCTTAATTCTGACCCCGAATATACTTCAAACTAACATAGTGCTATTTTTATACTGAATTTGTAAGCGTGATTCATATGTTGTTTCACATTTACTGAATTGGGGCAATGGGTCTCTTAGGGGTCAGGAACCCTCAAGAGGTGGCAATTACTGGTTTCGACCTCTAAAAATCTTTCAAATAAAAAAGGAATGAATGACTCTGGGGTGAAACTTGTCACTGAAGGGGTCACTGTCAAATGCCACAGTTTTAAGTTATTATTGAATACATATGTACGTAGATGTTGTTGAGCAAGAAAATATATGAGTAAAGAAAGAAATATTTTGTAATTTTGCTTAATTTAATCACTACTTTACATTGATAAACTGAAAAAAACACAGGTACTAGACTGACGCATGGTAATGTCATTAAGGTGTTTACGTCAACAAATGTCCCTGGTGTGATTGTATGATATAAAGGTATCAATACTGCCAGTTTTTCCTTTTTGTAGCTAGTAAACTAAGTATTTATCTCCGGACGAAATTTACGTACTACTACACTTCAGATTCAATTTTGTATTTGATAAATTAGAGTGTTACTACTCCTTATTGTTAGACAACACCCCCATACACCCACCCGAGACATCTTAAGCGTGGGTTGTACTGATCTATTGTCAGTTCAAAAAAAAAGAATTGAGATACAAAATGTGTCAAAAATATTGCTACCTTTCTTTCATACCAACATTGAGATAACCAAAATGTGTCAAAAACTATTCGTACTTTTTTTACCCAAAATTGAGATACCAAACCATATGTCAAGAACCCATCCACTCATTGGTACTTTAAGTGTATAACATTGTTCCCAAATTTAGAAAAGTTTAATTATGTTTAACATCGCTTTATTTTCTTTTCAGTTTTACAGATTTTACATAAAAGAAAAAAAAATTTGATATTATC